AGCCTTAACTGGCAGTTAACTCATGTCTGCCTAAGTTGGAACTCTATAAATAGGACATCATGTTAGAGCTACATAAGTACTCATACAACATCATTTGGCTTCTTACTCTACATACCTCTACAGAAAAGCCTCGCGCATCATATATACATAAAGTGATCAGTTCTCAACTTTGTTCTAATTCGTCGGAGCTCAAAATTTTGAAATGCTACAGCTTCTGAAATGAGTCATTTTGTCCACACTTGACAGGACATATTCTTATCTACATTGTGGACATTAATTATGTCCACATCACCACAACATTTGTCATTATATTATACATAGGATGATGAAAAGTTGTGATATTACTAAATGTGTTGATGTGTTATGTAATTTACTACAACAACATTTGAGCATTTGAGATGATAACTTGAGGTCATTTAAGGTGTCCCAAGATGGCACTATACATTTATTTATATATATATATAAAAAAAAAAATTATTGCAAAAATTGGACAGAATAACAACAATCATTTGGAGACATGTAAATATGTAATTCAACACAATCGAAATTATTATACATAGCAGGTATGAATTGTAAGAAAGATTTGAGGACACATCTTGCCTCCAATGGAGGGAGGGGAGAGAAAAGGCCACACGCATTTTGCGACCGGATTTGTAGATCAGTTAGAGGCACCCATACTGCAAATTTTGCATTTTGCTGTATAAGTGGAGAAGTCTTAATGAATCTAATAATTTTTTATAATATTAAGTAATGTAATATAAAAAAATAATAATTAATTGTAATGTGAAAATAATAGTAAAATAATAATTTATGGTTACAAATATATGAATAGATAAATAATTAAAATATTGAATATTGACTTTTAATTCAATCATGACATGGAAAATTGAGGAGCCGAAGAAAAAAAAAGAAAAATGAGATGAAGTTAGGGAAAATTGATCGGGCAACACCACAAGTTTTTATTTTTTTATTTTTTTATTTTATTTTTTTTTATTTTTTCAAACGATATATTCAAGTCTTTTGGTTTGGTTTCGAGGTATTAGCCATTCCTCATTAAAGCGTGATGAAGTTTTCCACTAACCCAATATTTTCAATCCTACACATAATTACACGAAGAATATAGATAAAAGACATGACAAAGCAATGTGCCAACTGCCAAACAGCCCACTACACTTTCATTCTTTGTAATGATTTTCACGTTGAAAATTTTATAGAGCAAATATAATTACAAGCTTTCATGACATTAACCAAAAAAGAAAGAAAAATACAAACTATAGTTAAGGAGAATTATAACTTATTCCATCTGCCAAACCGTTGAGTTGTTAAGTCAAATTCAGTAATCAGTATTATCAGTCTGAAGAATAGTCGCTAGACGTGTCCATCAAACATAACTCCATGCTTGGGTAGACTATAGAAAGTTCCTAGTCATTAAATTTATTACCTGATCATAAATAACTAGGATAAATGTACCTCATACAAATAACTAGGATAATATAGTTCCCAAAGTTTTTCACTTGTT